GGCGGGGGATATTTCATGCTTGTTCTACCATGGCTCAGGTTATGCAATATCTGGATTATACTGTGCCAACTTTAAGTGTTGACCTTAGCACTGTCTTACTTCTTTTTCTATCTTGACTTCAAGATTATTCAACAACAAAGTGGAGTGTACTATGTAACTGCAGATGACAATACAGCAACCTTTAGTGGTGACCCTGACCTTAGCACTGTCTTACTTCTTTTTCTATCTTGACTTCAAGGTTATTCAACTACAAGGTGGAGTGTACTATGTAACTGGAGATGACAATACAGCAACCTTTAGTGGTGACCCTGACCTTGGCACCTTGACCTTGAGCTATCAACATGCAGAGGGCGGGATCATCAGGTTAGAAAACTGCATGGATTTTACATGTTAATTGATGCTACTTAATGGTTTTGGTGGTTGATAGCATGTCATTGTAACCATGGTAACTGGTCAGTGTGTATCGTTTCTCATAATATCGGACATTGGATTGTTAGTTTGGACCGGCCTCCAGAATATTGCTGATTGCATCTTTAAAAAAAACATGTACATCACGGTATTGCTCATTCAGTTAAAGCTTGGTGTAATCAATGGCTCCATCTCATTTTCTGGCTCCTATAAATTTCATTATTTTCTACACAAGCACACACCTTGACCATGTTGACGTTAACGGAAATAGCATATCAACAAATTCGTACTGTCGTAAAGATTAACTTACATTGTTCAGTACGGATGGTAAAAAAGAGTGTTCATTGTTTTGTAATCACTTGATGAGTTTTGGTCATTTTTATTTTAGAATAGTTGTTTACATTCATTTTGGCAAATCTGTGAGTGCAACGGCTTGCTTACTTCACCACATTCTGTCTAATGAGGTTTCAACTTCCGTTTACCCTGTTCCATTGGGTTCACTTGGGTAGAAGCTAACAGTTTTAGTCCACTAGTCCTTATTATGATAACATATAGCAAATTCCTTAAAAATTGGCAAAAATCTACTCGTCCTTATGATACCTTAAATAATGTGTTCAGAACACCCGCAATTTGAAGGCTATGTGTTAAAATGCTCACCAACCATCACAGACAAACTATAGTAGTATGAAAAGATCCGGTGTTCTTTGACTTCCTTTTAAGTAGTATATGTTTGTGATGTTTCAATATGCTGCTTTTTTCCAGAATTTCAAAAGTGAAGTTAGTTTGCATGGAAGGTACAAATCAACTGATCTTTAATGAAGAAAACCCCAAACTGAATTATGTAAGTATCCATCATCATTACAGGAGTAACTGTGTGATTACCTTGCTGGTGATCTTTGCTGCAAACAGACATTGTTCACCTCATGTCATTAATGGGTCGGTCGGGTGGTTAAAGTGTTTGCTCATCACGACAAAGACCCGGGTTCGATTCCCGACATGGGTACAATGTGTGGAGCCCATTTCTGGTGTCCCCCGCCGTGATATTGCTGGAATATTGCTTAAAGTGGCGTAAAACCATACTCACTCACATTCATGAATGGGGGCACGGGTGGCCCAGTCGTCTGAGGTAACACATTAATTCTTTGCACAGAGATGTGTCCCTTTATAAGGCAAGTCATTGACCTATGATGGGTGCAAACCTCCGTTTACCCTGATTCTTTCTAGGTGTGTCAGCATGTTCAAGGTTTGCCTGTGTTATGGGTTTGTAAACTTCGGAAGACCTGCATCACTTCTTCAAGGTTTTACCTTGATCTACAACACTAGGGGTTCAGAGTACCCCCAATTACTAAATTCAAGGGCCCTTTCAGGAAATATGAGGGTCCTGTAAATTAATGAAATTGTGTAGTGTTCTGTACGTTTCGATAATCACTTTAGAGCCTGGATAACTCCCACATTAGGCAGACACATTGTGATATCACTGTAGTGGCCCTAAACCTCACTCTCACTCACTCACTCACTCACTCACTCACTCACTCACTCACTCACTCACTCACTCACTCACTCACTCACTCACCCCACCCCACCCCACCCCACCCCACCCCACCCCACCCCACCCCACCCCACCTCACCTCACCTCACCTACTCACTCACTCACTGGTGCCAGGAACCCTTTGGGTATTCTGGGTTAAGTCCTCAGTATCTGTATGTTGTACCTTCGGGATTAGACAGCAAATTAATAACCAATGTCATTGTGCAGCGGGACTTATGTCATTTTTTTATTTTCTTGATGCAGAATGGGTGTGTACAATGAATATTATTGTGATGCAGTATATTTTGTGTGTGTCCATTCTCTATTTTTGTGCGCAGCCTGAAATCCTGGACAAGGTTATCGATAGCTGGAAATGCTTATTGAAATTACTTTAAAACAGGAATTTAATGCGACATGAAAATAATGCGAGTTCTTGATTTTAGACATAAATGCGCATTTTAAAAATGCGAGTGCCCATACCCTTTCCTAAAAATTTATGCGCTGGATTTATGTTCGGTGTTATTTTAATAAATGTAACCACCGTAAATAAAAGCCTTACCTGAAAACGCTTCGTTTGTTTCAAATGACGTTTTGAGCAGGAACTGTGAGTAGACAGAGATAAATAAAATAACTGTGCACATTAAATCCCCTGTCCATGTTTTTTCAGTGTGAGATTCCTTCCTTATTTTAATATTATTTAAGCTAATTGCCCGTATGTTTGATGGCGAAGCGTGAGAATGGTTTCCTTGCAACTATTGAAGGCCTAGCGTGAGAATGGTTTCCTTGCAGCTATCATTGTAATGTTTTAGTTGACAGTCTGTTGGTACTAGTATATACGTTTGGCCCTTTGATGAAAAGAAGTAGAAAACAGATCAGTGTATCAAATAAGGGGATTATGCTGATAGGATATTCACTAGTATATAAGTAATTAGTGTCATGAAACCCCTTCATGCGCGTTGCCTCGTGTCTGCTCTTGACAAGCTTGTAATGTAAAGGACACTGATGGGATAATTCGTGGCTGGCGCCAATCTGGGCTGCTTGACAGGATGTGAACTGACCACTACTCAACTTCATTTTGTGTAGGTGACTTTGTAATTTTGTCTAGTGCTTTATTTATCTACTACCTTTGTGACTGATTGATGTCAGTGGCTGCTATCAACTTGTAATAATCTGATATCATTGTTTTTGATGTAATACTAGTAACTAAATTGAAGTGATTTATTTGGTTTGTTGATTGTTTCCTTATTTTGATGGTACAAAATTAATGCGCATAAAATTAATACGACCTTCGGTCTCTCGCTTTTTTCGCATTAATATTCTGCTCGCATTAATTTCCTGTTTTACAGTAATCCCGAAATTCACTAGTGTAAGCATGCAGACAAGGACTTTCAGTAACACAAATACAAAAGTCAACTTCACTTCAAAAAGGAAATAATTATTACACTTTTAAAACCAGCTTTAGACTCACATGTTAAACCTTTACAGTGTATTTGATGAATTCTATGGCAGATATTCACCGAGTCGGTATTTCTGCAAAATATTCCGAGACCACGGAATACGGCAGGGACTGGATAGAGTTGTTTCAACCAACAAACACGCACAAACGCACGCTGATACATTGTGATATATCTCAATCATTCACTACAAGTCCAGGGATTAAACAAGGTGAAATATGCTTTCCTTGGTTGAATAAAAACTTCATGAATGAAGACAAATTTGGCATGTATTGTCTAAACAGTTGTAGCAGCATCCCGAGGGTACATGTGGTTTTATGCATCCCGTGTCAGGTGTTATACCAAGAGCCCGTGCTGGGGTACAAGGGATTTATTCTCCCGCTGAAAAATGTTTTTCCCTCTAAGGCGGGATACATAGTATTTTATAAAGATCACATGAACCAATGAGATCTCATACATGGAGGTATGATAATTAATATTATCCCTGTACAATTGTTTGCATCCAGGACTCTAACAGGTGATTTTCTCCCACACTGACTCCAAACCCAAGAGCTCATCATTTTAGATGTTATTTTGTTTTCAACATTGGGATTTTAGGATGTCATTAAAAACTAACAACTGATACTAGCGATACAATGTAGTTATTAACACATACAATAAACGAAATAGCCATTTTTTCTTAAAAATATATTACAAATTGGGTGTGTACATTATTCTTAAGTGCATACTATGTATGCACAAGAAAATACAGTGCTTTTAGTTCTGCTGTAGAAAAATATTGTAACTTTGATTGTTGTCTGATTTTAGAAGCTTAATATGTCTTCAAATCCAAGTAGGTTAACTTAAGCCAGGGCCCCATTCCACAGAGTGATCTTAGCACTAAGATGATTGTAGCTCCCATACTTTAACATAGACTTATGACAATTGTAGTGCTGAGATTATCAAAAGTCCCATACTTTAACATACACTTACGACAATTGTAGTGCTAAGACAGTTGTAACTCTCTTATTTTAACATAAACTTACGATAATCGTAGGGCTAAAATTAGACGATTGTACCATTTTTATCCCCCGCCCCTACAAAGTTGGCGTGTGTGTGCATGTGTGCGTGTGTGCGTCCCGAAATCGTTTCCGGAGCATCACTCAGAAACCGTTAAATTTTTCTCTACGAAACTTTGCATGTCGATCAGAATCATGCTGAACTAGTGCCTTTTGCTATATACTGATATAGGAATTTTATAAATTTTTATTTTTTTACGTTTCCATGGCAACAAGTTGGACTTAGGTTCTATAAGGGTGCTGTTCGTTATATAATTTCTTACAAAACTTTGCATGTTTACCAGACACATACTGAACTCCTCCATTTGATATTAAGGAGTTTTATAAATGTTTATTTTAGAATTTCCATTGCAGCTATTTTGACATGGCCTAAGAGAAATGTTGGGTCCGTTACCCGGTTTGGGACCATAACGTGTTAAAATGGCGGGGAATATAGATGACTTCGTCGTCTATACGCTTGTTTAACATAGACCTGTGACAATTGTAGAGCCAAGATCCCATGTTCTTTTGTGTTCTCCAGTAAAATGTAATATCTGTTTTGTGTTGTTTCAGAAATTTACGTTGAACACAGAATATGTGTGCATCCCTGGGAGTCAGTCGGGCCTGAGTACAGGATCAATACTTGTTATTTTGTAAGTATGGCCAGGTGGCTGAGTGGATTAGGCTACAAAAATATTCTTGGTTCTCAGGCACCGCCCGCATCATAAAGTTCGCCGCACATTTTGTGTTAATTTCCATTTTTAAAAAAATCCTTAAATATTCCAAATCCAACGGTAGTCAAATACTATATTCCAGTATTTTACTCATCAAGGAATACATTTATGTAGTGAGGCCCTTTCCCAGGTTAAATGTAAACAACTGTTTTTTGCTTACACACTAGTCTGAACAACCAAAAAAAACATAGACACCGTCCGCCCACACTTTAGGTTAAAAAAACATTTCCTGAGAACCAATTCCTGGTAGCAGCTCTTTATTTTGTATCCTTTGTTACAATATCAGGTTGTGATGTTCTGCTTAAACTTTTCGAAAATGTCATGTTGGCAAATTTAATATGTCCTGTTTGCACTATTTCAAATCAGACATTTTACAGTCACATTCTGACAAGTCCGGTGCCCTGACCGGTTTCCGGATCCCTGCCAAAATGTACTGGAATCTGTACATTACAAAGAAAGTGTTATCCCAAATATAACATGGTTTTTAACTTGGTGTTAAGAATACAAGGAAGAAGTGGAAAAAATTTTAATATGGAATACAAATGAATCACAAATATGCCAAATTAGCAAAGCAAATTTGAATATCCAGACATAATCAATAAAATATACCTAAAAGATATACCAGAAAAATCAAACATATCCTTTGCAAAAATGCAGTGTTAGAGAATCAGTCGCTTCACAGACTCATATTTGGTATGTTTCTCACTAAGCGGTTTTGAGTGCAATATTGCTGAGTGTTGTGTTAAACAACAAACAAATCATCCTGAGCAGATCAGCTGTTAGTTGCAGGTTGTGGCAATAGGGCAGCAAGGTCAAGGTGCAAGGTCAATAATGAAATTTTCTTTTTTTATTTTGCAGATTCTTTGTGCTTCTGGTGGTGTATTTGATAGCAGGAATCTTGTTCCTGAGGTTTATCCGAAAAGCAGAGGGATTAGAGTTGGTTCCGAATTATGATTTCTGGACTGCTATACCTTCCTTGATACGGGTAAGACTGAACTTCTTGGACAGAGCTTGTAGTATATAAGTAGCCTATATTCCAGGTGCATGACAGACATGTTTTCTTGTGGATATTACAGATTTTTTTGTACATGAAACAGCAGTGTAGAAGGGGCATTTTATCAAAACGTTTGATGTTTGAAATTTGTTTCTTGACTACCAAAGCTCCATCTTTGAAAACAACTTTAACTTGTGCATGGTTTTCATAAGCAATGATAAGTTCCCCTAGGTGCTTGTTACGATGAGTATGGTGTCTGAGTACGCTGTCTTTGGTGGAGTGAGTGAGTGAGTTGGGTTTAACGCCGCTTTTGACAGTATTCCAGTTATATCACAGCGTGTCAGCTTAATGTGGGAGGAAAGCCCGAAGTTATGCAGGTCTTAGACGTTTACCACTTTGGTGAAACCCACGAGCACGGGTAGGGTGCTGACAAACCTAGAAACATAATCGGGGCGAACCGGGGTTCGAACCCACAATCATAGGTTTCTGAATTGAAAACAGCTCAAGTTCAGACACCATACGGGGGCACGGGTGGCACAGTTTTCTAAGGCGACGCGATTCGCTGTGCAGAGTTGCGTCCCTTGGGCACGCCCGAAACCTATGATTGTGGGTTCAAATCCTGATTCGTACCGATTATGTTTCTAGGTTTGTCAACAACATACCTGTGCTCATCGGTTTCACCAAAGTGGTAAACGTCTGAGACCTGCTTTACTTCAGGCTTTCCTCCCACATTAAGCTGACACGCCGAGATATAACTGGTAAACTGTTAAAGGCGGCGTTAAACCCAACTCACTCACTCACAAAAAATGTTATGGCTTTGTTGTGGTAACTTGTATTTCACTAATAACCTAACCAATATAGGAGAAGAGCATTCATGGTTAGTATTACATTTTCAAATTACCTCAGTATTTAGGGAAATAAGATCTTTCAGAAATAATCCCAATTTTGAACAAAGTAATGATTTTTCCCCCAGTTCCCCCAATTTGACTGCTAAGGTGGCATTAAACCAACTCATCCGCTGTTTTCTCTATTTTGCAGGATGGAATTTATTTCACTCTCCGAGGATTCAAGACTGAATCAACATATCAGAAGATTTGATAGTCTCTTCATGTTTCTTGTTATTTGTGTGTGAGAGGAACTCAGGTTTTCACTGGTGTCACTGGTGCATAGTGCATAGTTCATAATATCAAAATCTCATGTGTGAAATCGAACTTATTTATGCATACGTAGTTTTCTAGACATATTCCAGAATGTATATATTTTTGAAATAATAGATGATAGCTATGTGTAATATATTTTCAAGAAGATATGTTTTGAATAATTCCATGCAAAGATTTCTTCAACATGATATTTTCCATCTATTGCTTTGTGTCGGTTTGAATCGTCAGTTGGTTGTGACAAGCAGAAAGTCTGCTAAAGAAACCGCTAGGTGGATACTTCCAATAACAGAGGGGCACAGGTGGCCCAGTTGTCTTAGGTGCTGCAATTCACTGTGCAGAGTTGTGTCCCTTGGACATGAATGATCATGGGGTTGAGTCTTGGTTCTGCCCTATGATGTTTCTAGGTTTGTCAGCACTATACCCGTGCTTGTGGGTTTCACCGAAGTGGTAAACGTCTGAGACCTGCATCACTTCAGGCTTTCCTCCCACATTAAGCTGACATCCCGTGATATAACTGGAATACTATTAAAAGTGGCATAAAGCCCAGCTCACTCCACCAAAAGTTACGGAACTTTTGCTATGATCTTATTTAGCAGTGGTCTAAAGTTGTCTAGTTGTTGCAGTTGGAGTGAGTGAGTGAGTGTGTATGGTTTTTACGCTGCTTTTAGCAATATTCCAGCAATATCAGCGCGGGGACACCAGAAATCGGCTTCACACATTGTACCCATGTTGGGAATCGAACCCGGGTCTTCGGCATGACGAGCGAATGCTTTAACCACTAGGCTACCCAACCGTCCCTGTTGCTGTTGGAGATGGAGGAGTTGGAGATAAGGGTGCATGGGCAATGTATCTCTTTGAATGTTTGATAAGAAAGATTTAACACAAACTTTCTACCGTGACGTTCTTCAATTATGATATATATCCAACCTGCTTTTGTATGTTCTGTAAGATAAGACTGTGTTGAATGATGTATGAGAGATTCAGCTTCTTTTTGTTAGATCTGAAGTAGATGTGGATCCACATGTATGTAATTCCTGCCACTGTTTGCCCACTAGGGGATACCAAGTTTTGGCTATTAGATCTGAAGTAGGCGTGAATCCACATGTATCTTGGCCCTGCCACTGTCTGCCCAGAGGTTCCAAGTTTTGACTTTTAGATCTGAAGTAGATGTGAATCCATATGTATCTCGGTCCCAAGTTTTGGCTATTAGATCTCAAGTAGATGTGAATCCATATGTATCTAGGCCCTGCCACTGTCTGCCAAGAGGTTCCAAGTTTTGACTTTTAGATCCGAAATAGACGTTATTCCATATGTATCTAGGTCCTGCCACTATATGCACAGAGGCTCCAAGTTTTGACTCTTAGATCTCAAGTAGACGTTATTCCATATGTTTCTAGGTCCTGCCACTGTCTGCCCAGAGGTTCCAAGTTTTGACTTTTAGATCTCAAGTAGATGTGAATCCATATGTATCCAGGCCATGCCACTGTATGCACAGAGGCTCCAAGTTTTGCCAATTAGATCTCAAGTAGATGTGAATCCATATGTATCTAGGTCCTGCCACTGTCTGCCCAGAGGTTCCAAGTTTTGGCTATTAGATCTGAAGTAGACGTTATTCCATATGTATCTAGGTCCTGCCACTATATGCACAGAGGTTCCAAGTTTTGGCTCTTAGATCTGAAGTAGACGTTATTCCATATGTATCTAGGTCCTGCCACTATATGCCCAGAGGTTCCAAGTTTTGGCTATTAGATCTGAAGTATACGTTATTCCATATGTATCTAGGTCCTGCCACTATATGCACAGAGGTTCCAAGTTTTTACTCTTAGATCTCAAGTAGACGTTATTCCATATGTATCTAGGTCCTGCCACTATATGCACAGAGGTTCCAAGTTTTGACTCTTAGATCTCAAGTAGGTGTGAATCCATATGTATCTAGGTCCTGCCACTGTCTGCCCAGAGGTTCCAAGTTTTGACTTTTAGATCTGAAGTAGATGTGAATCCATATGTATCTAGGTCCTGCCACTATATGCACAGAGGCTCCAAGTTTTTACTCTTAGATCTCAAGTAGATGTGAATCCACATGTATCTAGGTCCTGCCACTTTCTGCCCAGAGGTTCCAAGTTTTGACTCTTAGATCTCAAGTAGGTGTAAATCCATATGTATCTAGGTCCTGCCACTGTATGCACAGAGGCTCCAAGCTTGACTTTTAGGTCTCAAGTAAATGTGAATCCATATGTATCTAGGTCCTGCCACTGTCTGCCCAGAGGTTCCAAGTTTTGACTTTTAGATCTCATGTAGATGTGAATCCATATGTATCTAGGTCCTGCCACTATATGCACAGAGGTTCCAAGTTTTGACTTTTAGATCTGAAGTAGGTGTGAATCCACATGTATCTAGGTCCTGCCACTGTCTGTACAGAGGTTCCAAGTTTTGACTCTTAGATCTCAAGTAGGTGTGAATCCATATGTATTTAGGTCCTGCCACTGTCTGCCCAGAGGCTGCAAGCTTTGACTTTTAGATCTGAAGTAGATGTGAATCCATATGTATCTAATTCCTGCCACTGTCCTTCCAATAGGAGATTCAAAGTTTAAGCTTTTACATCCTAAGTAGTAAACTGACACACTAAAATTGCATATTTGATTTTTTGTAATATTTTGCAAAATGGCCACAAAAATCAATTGAAATTGCTCAGAGCATTTGGGCATGAGATAATCAACACAATGTCATCGTTGGGGTTCAAGTCTCATTTGATGTGTTTCGATATAGACACAGAAAAACACAGCTTGTCTGATGCTTCAAATTTTGATTGTGTGTTTTTCTGTGTGCCAGTATATGAAACTCCTGCCATGGTCTGCCCAGATATTTCAAGTTTTGGCAGTTAGATCTGAAGTGTATGTGGATCCACGTGTCTCCCTACGTCCTGCTACTTTCTAATAACAAGTTACAGCTTTCTGATTTATTATTATCCCCCGTTACGAAGTGGAAGGCGGATATAGGAATGGTAGCTGTCCATCCATCCATGACGTTTTGTTTCTGGAGCCGAACTAAAAAACCATGAAGGATATCTTAACCAAACTTGTCACATAGATAGGTCTAGTGGTGAACTGGTGCCTTTTGATAGTTTGGGATTTTTAAAAAAGATTCTTTTTAAGTTTCCATAGTCACGACTTGGACTTAGACTGAAAGTGGTGGTAGTGCCCGTTTCTGGAGGACTGATGCCTTGCACACAACCAGTCATGTCATATTGGCGGGGGATATGAGTATTTCATGCTTATTATATGTTAATTGAATACTATTACTCATTCTTATTTCCCTTCCATGGATTTGTCCCTACTTTATGAGTGTTATCCTGAACCCAAAGTGTTTAAGCAAAGTGTGAAAGGTAAAATATACTGTAAGTCATGAAATTAATGCAAGCCTTACTTAATGCAAAATACATAATAACAAATCTCATAATAAACAATGTAATTGGCGCTAGATTAAGACAGTGCTTCTTACCATGTTCATTGTCAAGTGTGGTCAACTTGTTTACACATGTTGATCAAACAGTTATGACTGTCGCAAACCAGGTAGGACAGCATCTTTGTTCTTGGTAAGCTTGTCAAATAATCTTACATAGTGATAATGTCCAGTACAGTTACAGCAGCCGGTAAAGCATTTCGCAAACTGTTTTAACAAGCTTTGTCAGTGATCCGAGCTATCTCTTTTGAATATGCGTTGTCTGAAATTTCCTGTTTTTGAGTTCCTGAAAGTTTTATCACATGTAAAGCAGTTAAGTTAAGTTGTGAGATAACAACATATCATCCCACACTATATGATTGAATTCCATGTCTACAACCTTTATCTTATTGTTTGCTGATTAACTTTTGAAGGGTACTCACATTAATCTGGTGAAATTAACTTCATGATTTACAGTACATTTATTTTTGTCAAGGAAAGAATGATGGATATATTTATTTTGTTTGTTGTTTAACAACACACTCTGCAACAGTCCAGCTTATAACAGCGGTTTGTAAATAATTGAGTGGATCAGACGACCCTCTGGTAGACATCATGAGCATCAGCCTTTGCATTTTGATATGATGACCTGCATCAATGAGTCAACAAGCCTGACCACCCGATCCCGTTAGTCTCCTAATTTTAATCTGGATCTTCACAGGTTGAAGGACATATACTGCCCCAAGTTTGGCCTGTTAGATCTAAAGATGTGGAACCCAAGTTAACTTCATTTTGCTTCTGTACACTCTTGCTATTCATGCAATAACTAACATGGTAGAAGGTAATATATTGTCATGGAGATGTACATTGCAAGCATTGCATTTGATTGGCATTTCTTTCATTTTGTTTCCATAAACCAAAGAAAATATGCCATGCCCAAAAGAAGACTACGGTTTTGTGATTGGCTGATAATAGAATGGGAGGGGCTTAAAATGCATTATTGTGCTGAATGATGTCACTCCTTTCATACTGTTCACAGTTTTTTGTGTAAATGATTACATGAGAAAGACGTCTGTAAATTTATTATTGGTGGTGTATTCATTTATAAGAATTGTCTTCCATGTTTTTTGCATTGTGGATTTACATAGTATGCACACCAGTTTTTACGTTTTTACATACATAAGCGCTATTGATACCGAAGTCACTTCTTTATTTATTTAATACTATTTGTTAGGCTAATGGTAATTTTGTCTTAGGCGCCACGATTCACTGTGCAGAGTCACGTCCCCTGGGCACGCCAGAAACCTATGATTGCTGGTTCGAATCCCGGTTTGCCCCGATTATCTTTCTGGGTTTGTCATCACCATACCTGTGCTCGTGGGTTTCACCAAAGTGGTAAACGTCTGAGAGCTGCATCACTTCAGGCTTTCCTCCCACATTAAGCTGACATGCCGAGATATAACTGGAATACTGTTAAAAGCGGCGTTAAACCCAACTCACTCACTCTCATGGTAATTTCCATTTCATTGTTTACTCCATGCTCTGTGAATGTTATCCTATCCAAAAGCTATATATTTATACATGTTTATGCCAAGTGTGTAATTCCTGTTTTAAGATCTAAAAAAATATGTAAACATTGTTGTTTGTCAGAGAAAGAATGAAGGCTATATACTTGTATACTGAAATTTTTGTGTGAATTTAGTAAGTATTTGTGGTTGTTTGAAGTTCATCGTGTGTTGTAGCTCGAGGCCATATAACGTGCCTCTGTGCCACTTGCTCATGTCATGTCCCAAGGATGAACCAGTTTGTGTGAAGCAATACATTAAGAATTTTTGTTTATTTAAATATATTGAGTTTGTTAATCATGTAATAATGATGACGGTTATTTGTTTCTGTTGTGAATGATAGGTTGATTGTAGGTTATTACCATATATAACACTTTGCAAATAAGATTTCAGAAATAAAATTCCTAACTTTTATAACTGATAAGTCTTTGTCTTATTACTACCATACAGTCAGTTTATCACTGTATTAATTAGATGGTGTAGCTTCCAGAAAGGGGTTGAATATTGTATAATTGAGCTGTTTACCACATGTTGTAGCTTTCAGAAAGGGGTTAATTATTGTGCAGTTGAGCTGTTTACCACGTGGTGTAGCTTCCAGAAAGGGGTTGAATATTGTATAATTGAGCTGTTTACCACGTGTTGTAGCTTTCAGAAAGGGGTTGAATATTGTGCAGTTGAGCTGTTTACCACGTGTCATAGCTTTCAGAAAGGGATTGAATATTGTGCAGTTCAGCTGTTTATCAGGTGGTGTAGCATTCAGAAAGGGTTGAATATTGTCCAGTTCTGCTATTTACCACGTGGTGTAGTTTCCAGAAAGGGGTTGAATATTGTTTAATTGAGTTGTTTACCACATGGTGTAGCTTTCAGAAAGGGGTTGAATATTGTGCATTTGCGGTGTTTACCACGTGTTGTAGCTTTCAGAAAGGGGTTGAATATTGTGCAGTTGAGCTGTTTACCATGTTTTGTAGCTTTCAGAAAGGGATTGAATATTGTGCAGTTCTGCTATTTACCATGTGGTGTAGTTTCCAGAAAGGGGTTGAATATTGTGCATTTGCGGTGTTTACCACGTCTTGTAGCTTTCAGAAAGGGGTTGAATATTGTGAAGTTCAGCTGTTTTTCAGGTTGTGTAGCTTTCAGAAAGGAGTTGAATATTGTCCAGTTCTGCTTTTTACCACGTGGTGTAGTTTCCAGAAAGGTGTTGAATATTGTGCAGTTGAGCTATTTACCAGTTAGTGAAGCTTTCAGAAAGGGGTTGAATATTGTGCAGTTGAGCTATTTACCAGGTGGTGTAGCGTCCAGCGAGGGGTTGAATATTGTGCAGTTCAGCTGTTTACCAGTTAGTGAAGCTTTCGGAAAGGGGTTGAATATTGTGTAGTTGGGCTGTTTACAAGGTGGTGTAGCGTCCAGAGAGGGGTTGAATATTGTGCAGTTCAGCTGTTTACCACGTGTAGCTTCCAGAAAGGAGTTGAATATTGTGCATTTGAGCTATTTACCAGGTGGTGTGGCTTACAGGAAGAGGGTGAATATTGTGTAGTGAGTGAGTATTGATTTGCTCTACTTTTAGCAGCATTCCTGCAATATCACGACGGGGAACACCAGAAATGGGCTTCACTCATCATACCCATGTGGAAATTGAACCCAGGTCTTTTGTGTGACGAGCGATCGCTTTAATCACTATTCTACCCCACCGCCCCCTGTAAAGTTGAGCTCTGTACACGGGTGGTATCACTGCCAGAAAGGTGTTAAATATTATGAAGTTGAGCACTGTTGACCAGGTGGTGTAGCTCCAAGAAAGGGGTTGAATATGGTGTAGCTGAAGATCAATGAAGATCCGGATAAGAATAGGTCTTAAGCAACCCTTGCTTGCTGTAAAAGGCTACTATACTATCCTAAGAGGCGACTAACGGGATCGGTTGGTCAGGCTTGCTGACTTGGTTGATGCATGTCATCGTATCCCAATTTTGCCAAGTTCGATGCTCATGATGTCAATCACTGGATTGTCTGGACCAGTCTCGGTTATTTACAGGCCGCCGTCATAAAGTTATATTGCTGTGTTCGGCGTAAGTAAGTACCGCGGACCTTCACCCCCAGATAGACCCTCTGAGCATCAAGTGGATATGGTGAAATTGAATTTATAGAATTTATGTATATATTGCCATTCATAATGTTTTGCAGCAGCTGCTGTCAAGCTGACACATTTTGTATTACGTGCCCCCGAAGAGATCACCCGCTTTAACTAACATACAGCTGGATTACACATTGTGTAATACCAAAAGGCGTGCTTATGTACTCTCGGAACGTTTCATGAACAAATATTGAAAGCTCTCAACATCCCCTGGCTTATTCAACGACATTGCGTGTGGAGATGATTTATCACTGAGAGGAGCTTATGCACACTCGGTTACCCCAGCAACCTTGTTGCAAGGCTGACGTCACATGGCATTGTTTCGCCGATGGATCTTGCAACAAAATTCCACAAATTACGTCATCGGGTATATTGGCAATTTTTAAGTTACTCTCACCCTAGTCTATGAGACGTCACGTTTCTCTAGAGTCCGCCTGCACTGTCATAACGTTACGAAGTGCAGTCAAATATACACACAGCGACAAAACGAAAACAGGTTACAATTGGTACATATTTCTGCCAAATCCTGCCGAGAAACCTACCCTCTATACGATATATAGAGGTTATCACACGAGTGTGTTTGGGAATGGTAAATATCCTGCATTAGGAACACTATGTATTTAGCTCGCCAAGGCTCGCTAAATACAATGTTTATTCCCAATGCAGGATATTTACCATTTCCCAAACACACTCGCGTGATAACCTCTTTATCATATTATGTCATTCTTTAATTCTGTGCTTTAATATCGCTTTCCCCTTCTCACAAACATTACCGAAACATTGGAGTTTTCCCGGAATATGCACATTAATATTTATTACGTCACAGGGTAAGTGATGTGTCAGTCGGACAGTGACAGTAGCCAATGTAGTTCCAACTGAAATTTGTTTTTTATACAGTGGCGAAGCAACATATACGCAAAACAACAACTGTTTTTACTTGACTTTCGCGGTAATCCATCGGTCTGTCCGCTACAGTAACTGCCCTTTGTCAAAGGGCAGCTACTCTAACCCTAGTCTATGAGACGTCACGACCACGTTCAGACGTTGTTGACAGACGGCCTGTCCTGTCATAACGTTAAGAAGTGCAGTCAGATGCACACACAGCGGCAAAACGAAACAAGGTAACAATTCAAACATATTTCGGCCAAATCCAACTATTTTAATTTGTGGAAAAGGTTTCAAGCTGCTGAGGTCTATAAGCACAGATATGGATACTGATCTAGGCTAGGCCTATTGCCCTCGCAAAATGGTTTCGAAATTTATATATCTCCAAAGTAGCCAAAACATATAAAATGCCTTAGCTACGTCACAGTTAGACACTGGTTTTCCGTATATTTGTCTATTCTTTTGATAATGATAGCAATTATCCCTGTAGTTTATCCAGATTCCCGATGGTTAATGCTGACTCGATCGCCGAATGACAAGGGCGACGCCATGTTTGTTTATGAACACTGAAAGTAGTCCCTACTTGACCTTTGATATTTGCATCTCTATCCGCATATGACCCCAACGGATATCGTTTTTATCCGTTGGTTTTATCCTGTCGAGAAACCTACCCATTATATGATATCTTATGTTTTAATCTTTACTTTAGAGATGAGCGATAACAATCTATCGTTTCTAGATGTAATGGTTACAATTTCAAACAATAACATTGAAACAGATGTATATTACAAACCAACCGATTCGAAGCAATACCTCACTCATTAGCAAGTAGAATCTGCGCAATTGTATCTAATTAAGATCGTGCACAATATAGACTCGATGAACTGAGGGAGTCACTATTAGAAAGAAACTACCCTAGAAAAATAGTGGAAGACGCAATAAACAAGGCTAAATCACAAAACCGTTGTGATCTTTTTAAACCTAAAGCTAAACCTAACGAGAGTGTTCTCCCTTTTGTTACAACCTTTAATCCCCCAAACCCGGAAATATTTGGAAGTGTTCGGGAAACACTGTATCCCTTAAATAAGTGTAAAGAACTACAAAAACAAAAAAAATATCACAAAATAAACTTATTAAAAGTAAAAGACAAAATCTGAAACCGATTCTTAAAAGGCTTCTCTCTCAAATGGAAAACAAGAATGTAAAACAGTACAAAAGTGTAACAGACCAAATTGTGGTACTTGCCCTCATGTTTTACAATGTTGTTCTTTTACATTCAAAGACGGAAAAAACTTTCTATGTCCGTGAAAATATTAATTGTGCTTAAAAAAACTTGATTTATGTCATACAATGTGCTGGATGCAAGGCCGAATACATTGGACAGACAGGGGACACCCTAAGAACGAGAGTGAGGGTCCACCAGTTTTAATTGACTAGCGCTTTCAACTCGTACAACGTACGAGTCTCATCAGGCCATATCGGACATGAAGTAGTAACATATAGTTACGTGACGTCATAACATTTAGGAGAACTATGACGCCACAATGCCAAGGTGACAATGGACCAAATAACTTACGCCTTTACATTTAACTTAGGCGCGTATTTAGGAATGAAATGTTGCCCATTTTGAAACAATGTAGGTTCATGTTCATAATTTAGCTTATACAGTGGGAAAACTAAAAAGTTACCGCTTCCACATGTATCTAAATGTTCACTGAGTGGAATCGTGCGGTTGTTAGGCTGCTTTATTTGTAAACTGTGACGATTCATTCTTCTTTTCAATTTGAGTTCTGTCTTTCCGTTATACTTTTCATGCATCCACTACAAACAATCAAGTAAATAACATTTCTAGTATCACGAGTCATATTTTGTTTTACAGTAAGTTTAGTGTCCTTTTGGACTAAAGAGCCTTCAATTATATTTCTGCAAGTAAGGCAACGTTTGTCACGGCACTAAAACAAACAAACAAACACACACACACACACACACACACACACACACACACACACACACACACATATATATATATATATATATAGGCTGAACCCGACACTCCATTGTGTGAGCATCGATCTACGCAATTGGAAGACGATGACTTGCATCACTGTATCAACCAAGTCAGCGAGCAGGAATACGGATCCATTTAGTTGTCTTTTGCAACAAACATATGTTAGGATCCAGGGATGCTTTAATTATTGACATGTTTTCGTACAATGCATTCCCATATTCTATTCATTGCTTTCCATTGAATATTTAACGAAACCACGTGCTTGTTTAAACAATGGCATTTGCATTCTCTGTCATCGGTTAATGCAGGGTAATAAGAGCGACAAAACCCTTTTCATGTCCATAACAAATCTGCTCAAAGGAGAGTCGATTGTACAATTCTCACTATCCTGAGCATGTGTTTATTTATTACTTTCACAGTGATGACACCATGGGGGAGCGTATCCTGCCCCACTGTTGGCACCTGTCATAAACACCTTCAAAGTCAAATCAATTGATTCCGTAAAAAACACTGGGACAAGTAAAAAAAGTGAATTGCCTTGGACTTTATCTTTGTCATTGATGCGTGAAATGTGGAACTTTCCTCCACATGTCTACCATTAAACTGTTTGAAAGCTTCTCTGAGTCATTGAATCAAACAATTACAGAGACAAAGTTGTAATCTTCGTTAAAGAGCATGCTCGATTGTACCTCAAAAGTTGCGAAATGTAGACATGTGGACAATGTTTATGCATAGATCTAAATATGAAACAGGTGAAGCGGTCTCACTGGTCTTCTTTATTCCTAGTTCAGATCAGGTGGGTAAATCAATGGAAGGAGATGGCTATTCGGTGCTTATTGAATACAATTTCAGTTGAACCATCAAGCCATTTCCGTGATGTCAAAAATGTAAAACAATTGCATCGAGTACGCCGACGAGGGACGACCTACGGCGACAAAATCCTTTAAGGCCAGGTGAGCTAAAACTAAGTTGTATGCTGGATGTCCTGATGTCGGCTCCTCCTTTCGCAAAAAACTAATCGCTTGTTTTGAAGCAGTGAAATTTTGGGTCCCCAACAGTATATTTTGACAAAAATAATAAAAATTCAATTCATCACATTAGAAGTTTCCATTCTCCACATTCTTATATTGAGATATTATTCTGACGGTATCGCAAATACAATTTCAGCAGTACGTCACATTTGGTATGTGACTGGTCAAATATTTAATAGGTTAATCCGAATTCTTACCTAATTAGCGTTCTGGTTATTCTAAAAGCGTTACCCTGCATGATTGTTTCAGTTTGATCACCGCAGACCTAAATATTTGTAGAAACGTAGTTTTTCAATATTCGTTGGAGGGCATTAAAAAATGTAGATTTGCAGACACTACATTATTCAGAGAACATGTCAAATACATTGATAACAGACAATACGGTGTGTTTCAAATATCGGAAATATTGAAACAACATGTACCATTGGATCAGTGAGGTCAATTGACGAGAAACTGATCGCTCTAAATTAATAAAACGGACAAACCTATTCCCATATTCATAAGAAATCTCTTCTAAAAGCAGAGTGAACGTTGATGACAAATCACTCACGCAATTTCCCGAGAAGCTAAAACATGTGCCACCTCTCAGTGATATATTAAATAAAGTGAGATAAATTGAAAGGGTCATATGTCAGTGAAATGGCATACACAAGTATGTTACTGACCAGTCTTCCGTAAATCAGTTCAGATCATTACCATTATGTTTGTCTTTGACTTTATCGCCAAACGCATCTCAACCTTTTCCTTGGACAATGTCCAAAACTCGGAGTTGTAGGGTCCTAACATTTCACAATAATTAAATTTTCGTTGTGTTCATGGAAATTCCTGCATTCTGATTAGCTGAATTGGTCACGTGTTATTGCATTCATTTCCCAATGAATGTAAAAAATTAAGCCACGCCCACCGCGGCGCACTACTTTTATTACTTCGGAATGTCGGGGAATCCCAATATTACAGTCGAGGGAATTCCCTTTCTGCTCACGTGTATCGTCATGCACAGGACATTTAGCGACTTTCATGCATATTCATTGTCCAAACTACCCTTTGAAACCGAAGGCCGAGAATGAATGAAACAGCAAACGTGCAGGCTCGCTCGCCTGTTTTTTTCCCGCTCGCCCCGGTTCAACTTTCATGTCTTCGGGTTTCATTTATAACTAGCATTTCTCCAACTGTGATTTACCGTAATCGGGGAAGTAATGTTTGAATCACGCAGTAAATGACCATGTTATTTGAAACTGCCGCCTTCTCTCGGACATATTTCTTCCGGTTCGTTACAGTCTGACTGTTGCAGTTCTTTTCGCCTCTTGCCTTAATTGACAGGTCAAATGAACATTGTTTTAATCCCACTCTCCGTTGATTGGCTACTGACTGTGTAGGCGTGTCAAGTTATGTGCATAAATTAAACGATCACCTGATTCATGTCACGCCACTGTATGTATTACTACACCTGGAATGTTTATCAATGTCGTCATTTTTGTCTGTTTTGATATATGCAACTGTTTTGGGTTAAACTATTGTAGATAAAACATGTTTTACGTTGTCGAATTTAATTATAAGCATTGACTGTATATTTTTTTCGGTTCATTGAGGTATGAATCGAAAAGCCGATGTGCAAACTTTTGTAAGAATCCGCTACGCGGATTCATACAGTTTGCACATCGGCTTTTCGATTCATACCTCAATGAACCGAAAAAAATACACAGTCAATCCTTAAATGAAACACGGATTCACAGCATAACAGGAACGAGTGTTTTGTACGTCCAACTACTTCAGCAGTTCATTTACAATTTAAGGGATCCAGACAGTGCAATGTAAACATGGGCACAGAGACCCAGAGCATCACAGCAATCAATAACCGTCAGTACATGTTATCACAGATTCCACACTGCATCAAGATTAATAATTGGCACCAACTCTGTTTAACATCTGTGGAAACCATGGCATCTTTGGTTCGTTGCAGTCGCAGATGTTGCTGCCTTTTAAGATAAACACATGTGCCCTAGTGTCACCTTAACGCATGTGTCTAACACCACACATAAAACTATCATAAAATTGTGAGTTATTGATAATTATATGCTATTTGCACATGGGCATTTTAGCAATTTTCAATGCTGAATGGTCAGTTAAAAGGGAGATGACGCCAAATTTGTCCATTCTGGAGAACAATACGATACGATTTTATTCATTATTCATGTCTCTTAAAAGCATTTCTTCATCTGAACACTGTTTCTGATATGTAACCATGACGTTTGATTCGTCCTTCCTCATTTATTCTCATAAAACGTATTGCATAAACCAAAGAACGGGGCGTACAGTTTTGAGTTTCGGGTCGCGAAAAACTAGTATCATCACTGATTTGCAGTGGTCCATTCATATAGCTTTCACTGCTGTTTTGCCTTTTGTGCCAAAAGAAATCTGTTTTGACGGAAACTCGAGACTGGTATTCTCTGGTGATGACGTGTTGTATTTCAGATGGCACATCATAATAGCACATACTCAAGTCATAAAAAAACAAAGACCTTGTCATTGATTCCTACGCACAATTCACAATGAATATTTTTCTCAGAGAATTACTATAACCTATTCTACTAAATACGACATATACAATTGATGGTTCGTAAGAAACATTTTGTCATTAAAACACCGCTATGGACACCAACAGTACTGGGATCGCTATCAACAAAGGTATACACAACACCCAGAAGAAAAACAGATCAAGGGCCTTGCTCACTCGATTCCACGTCATTACTTTAGTATGTTCCTTAGCCTCGGAATCATCTGATTGTTCTGTGTCCTCAGAGATATGGTTAGGATGCGACTTCTTTTGTCGACCACAGCTTTTAACATCTTCAACCCAGACGGTGATTCTTTGGAATGATTTAGGAACGGGTCGTGAATTACTGCGTGCTGAGATCCTGACACTGAATATGCTGAGGATGACAAATAACGCAGACAATGATAGCGTGATTCCAAGGAAAATGATAAAGGTGGACACACCCTCGGAACTTTGTGGTACCATGTTTGTTAGAAATCCCATGTAGACTCCATAGGAAAGAGGAATTGTGATGGCAAATGATACTTTTTCTCCTGAATCTGCTGGAATGAGGAACACAAATGTTCCTAGAAGAGAGAGAATCATGACGGGAAGGATAAAGTTAAAGACAAAATTGGTTGGGAGTCTTTCTAGAATGAGTGTAATTTTCACTGTTGACATTGTTTTGTTGTCAGAATGTTTTTTCAACGAAACGATAGTGGCTGACGTCAAACTCCACTGACCTCGTATATTGGAACTGGACACTCCAGCACGAGATTGCCCTGGTTTCAGGTGAACTTCTGTCACTGAGTGTGACCACACAACCAGGTCCATAGAACACTTCAGGCTATCAAATGGGTACAACTCAACGTCAACATTACATGGCAGGTAGAATAAATCCCCAGGCATCCACTGTATATGTCCATTTGAAAATAGTTTCAGAGACACGAAATCTCCTCCAAGGCGGTCGAGTTGTTGGAAGGAATTGGACACAACAAGATCAGGTATCCAGATGTAGCTATCTGGGGGTCTGATAAATTCAACTCCGTCATACATCTCAGAATTCCAGGTGAGAAACTGATCAGACCACGTCACAACAAACCACCCTGTGCATATGAGCTGTTGTTGAGACTCAATGTATCGGCTCACTGTGTGTAGATGAAAATCAAATTCAACCGTAATAGTTTCGGATTTGTTGTAGACGGGCCTCTCGTATGGGTTGTTGTTCCAGATGATGTCATTGTAGAGGCGGAATTCACCAGTGGCTTTTCTGAGTTGTGTCTCAACGGACACAAAACCACAGGCAAGAATATACAAAATTGGCGACATCATGGTCGTATAGCATCAGCCCTTATCTTCTTCCTCTGCGATGACAGCTTAATGCTCAGCACACTTGGCTGCCTGTTCTCAATTCTGAGACCAGCCGATGAAACACACTGACTTTGGTCAAAAGCACTTCTTGTGTCTTACCTGAAATTAATATGAAAAATAATTAAGTAATTCTTTCTGAATATATGCAAACAAATCTGGTTTTGTTGTGTGAGAGTGCTTATCAATTCTGAAATTTGATAACATGCTGACCGTGTTGGGGCACAAATAATATATTTTGTTGTCTTTTGACTTGATCTGTTTGTTGTTTACCTCCGCGCTCAGCAATATTCAAGCTCTATGACATCAATCTCTGGATAATCGAGTCTGAACCAGACAATCAAGTGATTGACATCATACGCATCGATCTTAATAATTGGTATCTGATGAAATGCATCAACCAATTTAGCGAGCTGGAAAACCCGATCCCGGATCTTCACAGCGGAACTTTTTGTGTGCAATGAGTCATTGTAAGATTGATCAGTTAGTCCGGTTTTCAAACTGAATCTGTGTTTTGCATATGGCATATTGAATTGAATTTATAGTAATAGTGTGAATGGTAGCTGATATTTTGAACCTTTCCGTGTACAAAATATGTACATTTAAATGGGTACTATGTATATATATTTAGTATCTTAAAAGCCACATGCAGATGGCCAAAGAATTGTTTGCAAGTTTCATTCCGCTGCTGACAATACATGGTGAGGTGAGGTGAAGGTTATGCGTCATACGAAAAGACGTTAAAAGATAGTACTTCTTTTTACACTTACACACTTACGCCGCGACGTGCATGTGTGTGTGTGCGTGTGTGTGTGAGTGCATGCGTGCGTGTTTGTCGACGGTCCATACGAATGCCGATTGTATAGTTCTAGTCCACACAGATAGCACGCCACAATGTATCATTGATACCCCACTCAGACACAGTACACTGAATGTCAGCCGACCAGGCAGGGTAAAAATAAGCACTATCTTTTAACGTCGTTTCGCATGATGTAGGTGGGCGTCGAACTACCGACCTTTTGTTCTTCGGGTAGACTCTCTTTCCACCAGACCACGGATGTAGTCTGTATCTAAATGGCTTAATGAATGTTGAATGAATATATTGTTTATTCACAAAAAGTGTTAGCTCTTTTCTTACACCTTACGGTATCCTTATATGTTTTACACTGCAGTGAATAGGCTTGTAACGAAACATTATTCTTTTTCCTATTAAAAACATCTAGTAGTCGGAAGGCTTCTCTTCTTTGATAATCACATTCTTTATCAAACCACGGACTGTCGCGTCCATGACGCTGAACAATCCTACGCTTTGTAAAATCTGCTGCTTTCAACAAAGCGTCCGTAAATTTACTAATTTCTGCATATATGTCTGTTAATGCTAACGTAATACAATCATCAAACAAATGCTTAATTTCATCACATGAGACATTTTTTTTTAACCGATCACCAAAAATATCACGCCAAGTATACTTAATACAAACATCCGGCTTCACATTCTCACCCGACATAGCACTGTCAATTTCAGTATCATGTGACTGAAAGGTACAATTGGTTGGCGCGTGCAGAGACTCGATCCGAGATCCGATGTTAAAATTCTTACACAATGTAAACAAATCACTTGTTGTGATAACATAGTCAATAACGCTTGCGCCTGTAGGGGACATAAACGTAAAATCTCCCACACTGGCATCAGATCCACAACGAACATTAAGTATAGACAAGTTTAGAGAAGCACACATATTAAGCAAAATTCGCCCAAATTTGTTCAGTCTTATCGGATGAAAATCGCTGTGTGCAAATACCCCGGCAGAGACAATGACACTTGTCAATGTGCAGAGCTCTACTTATATCGTCCTCAACAAAATCAAAGTCTGTTCCAGTGCGGGCGTTGAAGTCGCCCCCGAGGAGGATAGAGACGTCCCCCACTTGTTGAAGTACATATATTAACGCATCCTGGAGTATAGATACGCCACACTTGTCAGCTTTATTGACATACCAATTTGACTTCTCTGGATTGTTGTATGCACAACCTATAAGAGTGTCCTTAGCATTATTAAATACAGATTTCTTTAGCAAAATTAAAACACAGTTGTCACATATTTTTGACCATAAAATGGATTTTGAAAGTGTTTTTTATTAACAATGTAATACAACCGGATAGCTTACCTTGTTTGGAGATTTGGCAAACATCAACATTAAAGTAAACATATTCAGAGAACTCCTTTGAAAAGTCGTAAGCTTTTAGCCAGGTTTCACACAATCCTATAATTGTAAATGTACGTATGTAATTAAGGAATTCATAATGAATGTTAAGGGTAATAGATACGTTATATTTAATCATACTTCTTTTCAAGAGACTGTCCCGTCAGCCAAACAAAATGTGTTTAAACAATATGTTAGAGATTTGTCTAGTTACCTGCATATTTGAAACAATACCACGATATGTGAAGAAATTAACTTAATTTCCTTTGATTCGAAATCGTGTATTTTTGTTGAAAATATATAACTAAACAAATTTACGAAATCATATGCGTAACTGGTTAGATTTTTCAAGAAAATGAAAATATAGAAATGACGTCATTATAAAACTATGCCAGTACAAATATTCGCATACAATGCCTTTTACATTGATATGAGTATGAGTATCAGTTAACATCAGAATAGGAAAACAATATCCATCAGGGCATACTCCACAAAGCGATATTTGCACCAAGACAGCCGTAGCGCCCATGCATTACCACTGATAAAGGCAGCCTTAGAACTAAGGTCGCTTTGTGGAAAAGGTATCCTGCTCGCTAACAAAACTTACCGGTAAAGATGTAGTTATTTCCTTGGTAAAACACCTTAGTCCATTGTAAATCCATATCCCTCCTGATGGTACAGTGATATCGTGTCGCAGAAAGACATGTAGTTCGTTTTATCTTCCCTGTGACAAACGTAAAAACATTCCACTCCAAAACGTCCCATTAACGATAATGCCACCTTCTCATCTGTTATCAGCCTGTACACAGATCGATGAGGTGCAACCGATATGACTGTGTGTAGGCAGCCTCCTCGGTACCGCACGTCCATGATGAATAACATAACAAACACCACTGTCGCCCTGTAACCTGCAACACTGGTTTACACAAATGCCATTAGGACTGATGAATAATTACCACATGCAGACAGTTGTCGGGACATCAGTTACACAATACAAATCAGTTGATGTGTCTCGTAACATCGGGGATGTTTACAGTGATTTCCATGGAGAACGTTGATCACATTAAACACTGTGTGATTGATCATGAGAAGTCGTAATCTGTCAGAATCATTCAATTTCCTTTTGAGGTGTCTATTAGAGGCTGCTACACGCATCCACTATTAAATGTCGGGATCACTTGTGAATCTAAAACCAATAAACTTGCTCTAAGCACCTTGTACACAGGCAGTCAAAACCATGGCAACCTGTGTAACCCGCTGAATGACAAAAGGGATGATTTGGATTTTCCAGCTGTGGATTTCGGCTTCATGTTGACTAATATGCAATCAGATCCAGCTTATGGCGTCAACATTTTTGCTAAAAATAGTTTAGAACATTTTATCCACATTCCGCAGAAAGACGTGTCTTACAACTGAGTACTTCAATAAAGACTTTACCACCAAAGGCCCTATTCCAATGATAATACATTCAAAATACCCATAAAAAGATCCAAGTTAGAATTGGTCTTCAGCAACCTGTGCTTGCCATAAGCGATGATTAACATGATCGGGTGGTTAGTCTCGCATGGCACCATCCAAATTGCGTAAATCGATGCTCATAATGTCAGTCATTGGATTGTCTGGTCGAGATTCGGTTATTTACAGACCGCCGTCATATGGCTGGATGATTGCTGAGTTTGGCGTTAAACAACAAACAAAGAAACAAATATAATCAAAAGACTACTTTCGAAGCAGTTGCACATAATCGAATGCATTGAGTGAGTACATTATTGCTAAGATCTTATGTTTGCAAGGCGCTTGGTTCTGATAATGCTCAAATTAATTCTGTCTGAAAGATCCTCAAAACATTGTGTGAAGTATTTCTCCTCCCTCAAAATCTTTGTAAATGTTTTGTGATGCGTAAACAGGTTTGAGTGGGATAGTGAATTTTGTACTGTACAGAGTGAAACCATCCACGACGATCTCAACTGACGAATTCCATCTCTACGATCACCTGTAACATGAACCCATACGAGAGGCTTGTCTTCAACAAATAAGAAACTATTACAGTTGAATTTGACTTTCATCTGCATACCGACACATTGAGTCACGAGAACATTGAGTCATACAGATGGACAAGTGCATAAAACCATAAACAAACAAGCAAACAAAACATGCGACAAGACATACCGATCATTTGAATTAACTGGTTCGATGTTTGTTCGCAAAGTAAACTTTTTGCTTTTGCTTCGGCCACCGAATATATGCCCGTTTAGGTAGACAGAACCTTTCAATCACTGGTTTGCCTGGTCCAGACTGGGTAACTGTCATGCTGCGTGAGTCAGTAACTGAGTTTTGTTTTACGCCGCTTTTAGCAATATTCTAGCAAAATGGCGGAGGACACCGGAAATGGGTTTCACACATTTTACCCGTCTGGGGAATTAATCCCCGACCTTCGATGTGATGAGCGAACACTTTAACCGCCAGACTACCCAACGGCCACCATGATATGTTTTGAAAACTGCTGATTGTGGCGTTAAACCATCACTTGATAAGCATCCTAAACGTGGTATGATCACATCTTATCTTGGTCCCATGTCTCTCCAGTGCATGCCGCAAGAACAGATTGAAACAACACGTTCAGAAATTGTTGCCAGGCTGACCCTGTTTTTGAACTGTGATGACTGAGAAAATCATACAATGTTATCTGTGCTAGAAACAGTTAATGCGGTCACAACTTCCGCAACTGGACGGCACGTGGCAATCAGTTTGGTTGAACGGGCGTTCGGAAAGGAGGAGAGACACAAACACACTGGCCAAGATGTTAGCTCACGTTTGATGAGGTCTTGCTCTCGATACACCTCCTGGGGGGTTGTAATTACAATCACAGGCTTATCGTGGAAGAGTGGTTATCTTGCTTCGATATCGTCGAATAACGATCTATTATAACAGAAAAAAGGGAGAAAATAGAGACGAAGATTAGTGTGTGTGTGTGTGTGTGTATGTGTGTGTGTGTGTGTGTGTGTGTGTGTGTGTGTGTGTGTGTGTGTGTGTGTGTGTGTGTTTAACGCAGTTTAACGTTTATCCCCTACTCGGACACAGTGCACTGAGCCGGCTAATCCTTGTATTATCCTCCTGATGCCGAGCGTCAGCCCATCGAAGAAAAACGGACGTGTTTTTTACTGTGATAGTCACGTAATATACAAATGTGTTCCTATTACAAACAAGTCTACTAACAAGTCTTTCATTGGGGAGTAACATTTAATAAGAATGCTTTTTACTTATACATGTATACTATTTATGTTTACTGAAAAGGAAATTATAAAAGAAATAATTTATTATGCATATTTGTATGTATATCTTGAGATGAGGTGAGGTGAAGCCGGTTCAAGATAACTTCACTTATATAGTGGTCTGCGTGTCTGCTTGTACTAGTCGGGATGTATGCCAGTTTCATAGTGGACTTTGTCACTGTCAGCCATTTGAAAAGACACCCTTCAAGCTGTAAAAAAGCTTTATAGATTGTGTAAACATCATTACCTCTTTACTTTTTGCACTTTGAAAATCAAGGATCGTGTTCAGAATCTGCTAACGATACCCGATGTCTCAAATGACAGCAAATCTAAGTCTCTCGTGGGCCAGTGACGTCATTATACGCGGGACCAACGCCTGTCAAGGGTAGCTTAATGATTCAGGCGTTTACTCGTCACGTCGTGGTTTTATTTTCTGCATCGGCACAATCTCTGGAAAACATTCCTGGGAGCCTGAGAAGATTTGTTTGCTCCTTCAGATACTGGTTTGGCTGCAAAACACATGAGTTCGACTTATTTTGTTTAATTAATCGATAATCATAAATTGCAACATCTTTATTCACATGAAAGAATCACATTAAAAGCAACTCATATTGTCATAGACTCCTCTAATTACTTCTATAAATATATGTCCATTGCACGATTCTGACTTCATCATTTGTGAATCGCTATCAAATAGATGACATCAGGTGATCGCGAAAATGTGACCATATCCTGTCCCACCAGTTGCTCACGTCACAAACACGCGTAAAGGCAAGTCAAGTGTTCACCTGAATAAACACAGAAACTTCTAGTTCATGTTTAAATAGGGAATTGCTTCAGACATCATTGTGGTCACTAATGGGTAAAATTTGAAAAGATCCACGTCATATATAACACTGTTTGACACTCTCCTTACGAGAGAATACATTCAGAAGCAAAGACATATATACTACTCGAACTGATCTATACGAGAAACAACATGTAATAGCTTTAAACACACGCCATCAATGATTCATTAACTAGAAGCCCAAGTTCAAGCCGATGTATATCAGTGTTATTGGAATTCCCACAAGTGAAGGGATACACAACAACCAGAAGAAAAACAAATCCAGTGCTTTGCTCACTCGTTTCCATGTGACGGGCTGAGTAGTCTTCGCCTGAAGTTCTTGTAACTGTCCAGATTCCTCAATTGCAGGTTTGTCACGGTTTCCAAACCGGCCAAATGCATCGACCTTTTCGACCCAAATTGTGAATCTTTGTAATGTTTTACGAATGGGTTTCGATTCACTCTGTCCACAGAACCGGACACTGAAGATGCTGACGATGACAAATACTGCAGACATTGTTAGTGTGAGTCCAAGGATGATGATGAAGGGCGATATACCCTGGGAGCTCTGGGGTATCATGTCTGTGAGAAAGCCCATGTAGACCCCATATGACAGAGGAATCGTTATGGCAAAGGATATTTTTTCTCCTGAATCTGCAGGAATGAGAAACACAAATGTCCCCAGGACGGACAGGATCAACACAGGGAGGATGAAGTTGAAGACAAAATGCACAGGGCGTCTGTCCAGTGTAAGCGTAATAAGCACATGTGATATTGGCTTGTTGTCAAAGGTCTTTTCCTTGGCTGTGATTGATGTTGGTTTTAGCCTCCACTGACCTCCTATGTTTGAACTAGATGTTCCAGCTACTGACTGACGGACTTTCAGGTCAACTTCTGACGTCGAATATGACCAGACGACAATCTCCATAGAACACTTCAGGCTATCAAATGGATACATTAGAACGTCCGTTTCACAATGCAGGTAGAATAAGTCTCCTGTCATCCACTGCACGTGTCCATAAGAGGATACTTTCAAAGGCACGAAATCTCCTCCAATGTGGTTTAGTTGTTGGAAGGAATTGGACACAACAAGATCAGGTTTCCACACGTAGCTATCTGGGGGTCTGATAAACTCAACTCCGTCATACATCTCAGAATTCCAGGTGAGAAACTGATCAGACCACGACACATCAAACCACCCTGTGCATAGGAGCTGTTGTTGAGACTCAGTGTATCGGCTCACTGTGTGTAGATGAAAGTCAAATTCAACTGTTATAGTTTCGGATTTGTTGTAGACGGGCCTCTCGTATGGGTTGTTGTTCCAGATGATGTCATTGTAGAGGCGGAATTCACCAGTGGAGTGTCTGGCTGACTCGATAGACACAACACCAATCACCAAATTACAGATTGTGAAGAGTAGCATGATTGCACAGATGGTAATGTAGAACTTCGCAGTGTAGAGTTTTGATGCCGTGGAGCTGCAATAATGAAAAGATACACGTGTCTCAGAGGTAAAATAAGTGGGAATGTAAAATAGTCAAATTGATATTGTTAGATTGTTTGATATCTAACGCCGCATTCAGGAATATATATAGCTCGAGGCTGGACCCGCGTCAGCGAGCAGGAACACCCAATCCATTTAGTGTCTCTTGCAACAAACATCGGTTAGAATAAAGGGATGCTTTAATTAACGCTATACTAAATCCACAACGTACAATGCATTCCATTCATTGCTTTCCAACGAAAACACGAGCTTGTTTAATCGATGGCATTTGCATTTTCTTTCATAGGTAAATGCAGGGAAATGAGAGCGACAAAACCCTTTTCATGTCCATTACAAATCTGCTCAAATGAGAGTTGATTGTACGATTCCCACTATCCTGAGCATGTGTTTAGTAATTACTATCAAATTGTGATTAAAACTCCTTTTTCGCGAAAAAGGGAGCAGATCCTGCCCCACTAGTGGCACCCGTCGCAAACACATTCAAAGTCAAATCAATTGTTTAACACGGGGACAAGTCCAAATAGGGAATTGCATCGGACATTATATTTGTCACTGATGGGTCAAATTTGAAACTTTCCTCTGTATGTCTACATTAAAAATGGTTGAAAGCTTTGCTCAATCATTGAATGTTGTAACCTTGATCAAACAACTACTGACACAGAGTTGTAATCTTCGTAAAAGGGGCATGCTCGATTGACCTCAAAAGTTGCAAAAATGTAGAAATTGGGAGAGTGTTTTGTCACTCTGAATCTTTATGCATACATCTAAATATTAATCAGATAAAATGGTCTCACCAGTCTCCTTTATTCCTAGTTCAGGTGAGTAAAACAATTGAAGGGAATTGTTATTCGGTGCTTATTGAATACAATTTTAACTGAACCATCAAGCCATGTCGGAGATGTCAAAAATGTAAAACAATTGCATTGAGTACGCCGACGACGGACGACCTGCGGCGACAAAATCCTTTTAGGCCAGGTGAGCTAAAAATAAGTTGTATGCTGGATGTCCTGATGTCGGCTCCTTCCTCCACAGAATACTGAGGCACTGAAATTGTGGGTCCCTATATTATCGTATATTTTGACAAAAATGATAAAAATTCAATTCATCACATCAGAAGTCTCAATTCTCCACATTCTTATTCTGAGATATAATTCTAATTGTTTCGCAAATACAATTTTAGCAGTACGTCACGTTTGGCATGTGAGTGGTCAAATATTTAATAAGTTAATCCGAAATCTTACCTAATCAGCGTTCTGGTTATTCTAAAAGACATTGCCCTGCATGACTGTATCAGTTTGATCACCGCAGACCTAAATATTTGTTGAAAGGTTTATTTCTCAATAATTGTTGATGGGCATTTTATTTACAAAATGCAGATTTGCATTCACTACGTTATTCAAAGCATATGTCAAATACATTTTTGACAGACAATATCCATTTTTGACAGAAATATTGAAACAAAAATGAAACATTGGATCAGTGAGGTCATGTGACGAGAAACTGATCGCTCTTATACCGAAATAAATAAAATATATAACGGATAAAACCATTCCCATATTCATAAGAAATAGTGAATGGTGATATCAAACCTCTTACGCAATTGCAGATAGGCTAATAACATGTGCTACCTCTCAATGATATAATGAATAAAGTAAAATAAATAGAAGGGTCATATTCCAGTTAAATGGTATGTTCAAGTATGTTACTTACCAGTCCTCCGAAAATCAGTTTAGATTATTACCATTATGTTTGTCTTTGCCTTTATCGCCAAACACATCTGAACCTTTTCGATGGACACTGTCAAGTCATGGAAACAGTTGAACAGCTGCATTTATCCCAAAGAACTATCTGCTATCAAAAAGCACAATGATTTACGTTGACAAAATCCGCTCATAAAATCCCAACTCTGTTCTGTTTGCACACAATAGCTTGGACTGTTCAGGATGTCAAAACTCGGAGTTGTAGTGTCCTAATATTTCACAATGAAACACGAATTCCCAGCATAAAAGGAACAGGTGTTTTGTGCGTCCAACTACTTTCGCAGTTCATTTACAATTTATGGGATCCAGACAGTGCAATGTAAACATGGGCACAGAGGCCCAGAGCATCACAGCAATCAATAACCGTCAGTACACGTTATCACAGATTCCATTGTGCAGCAATATTAATAATTGGCACCAACTGTGATACCATCTGTGGAAACCAAGGAATCTTTAGTTCGTGGCAGTCGCAGACGTTGCTGCCTTCAAGATAAACACATGTGCCCTAGTGTCACCTTAACGCATGTGTCTAACTGCACACATAAAAAATAAAATAATATTGTGAGTTATTGATAATTATATGCTATTTGCACATGAGAATTTTAACAATTTTCAATGCTGAATGGTCAGTTAAAAGGGAGATGACGCCAAATTTGTCCATTCTGGAGAACAAAATGATACGATTTTATTCATTATTCATGTCTCTTAAAAGCATTTTATCATCTGAACACTGTTTCCGATATGTAACCATGACGTTTGATTCGTCCTTCCTCATTTATTCTCACAAAACGTATTGCATAAACCAAAGCACGGGGCGTACAGTTTTGAGTTTTGGGTCGAGAAAAACTAATGTCATCACTGATTTGCAGTGATCCATTCATATAGCTTTCACTGTCGTTTTGCCTTTTGTGTGGAAAGGAATCTGTTTTGACGGATTATTGACGGAGACTGGTTATTCTCTGGTGACGGCGCTTTGTATTTCTGATGGCGCATCATAATTGTGCATACTCAAGTCATAAAAAAACCAAAGATCTTGTCATTGATTCCTACGCACACTTCACAATGAATATTTAATTACTATAACCTATTCTACTAAATACGACATATACAACTGATGGTTCGTAAGAAACATTTTGTCATTAAAACACCGCAATGGACACCAACAGTACTGGAATAGCTATCAACAAAGGTATACACAACACCCAGAAGAAAAACAGATCCAGGGCCTTGCTCACTCGCTTCCACGTCATTACTTGAGTATGTTCCTTAGCCTCGGAATCATCTGATTGTTCTGTGTCCTCAGAGATATGGTTAGGATGCGACTTTTTTTTTCGACCACAGCTTTTAACATGTTCAACCCAGACGGTGATTCTTTGGAATGATTTAGGAACGGGTCGTGAATTACTGCGTGCTGAGATCCTGACACTGAATATGCTGAGGATGACAAATAACGCAGACAATGATAGCGTGATTCCAAGGAAAATGATAAAGGTGGACACACCCTCGGAACTTTGTGGTACCATGTTTGTTAGAAAACCCATGTAGACTCCATAGGAAAGAGGAATTGTGATGGCAAATGATACTTTTTCTCCTGAATCTGCTGGAATGAGGAACACAAATGTTCCTAGAAGAGAGAGAATCATGACGGGAAGGATAAAGTTAAAGACAAAATTGGTTGGGAGTCTTTCTAGAATGAGTGTAATTTTCACTGTTGACATTGTTTTGTTGTCAAAATGTTTTTTCAACGAAATGATAGTGGCTGACGTCAAACTCCACTGACCTCGTATATTGGAACTGGACACTCCAGCACGAGATTGCAGTGGTTTCAGGTCAACTTCTGTCACTGAGTGTGACCACACAACCAGGTCCATAGAACACTTCAGGCTATCAAATGGGTACAACTCAACATCCACACTACATGGCAGGTAGAATAAATCCCCAGGCATCCACTGTATATGTCCATTTGAAAATAGTTTCAGAGACACGAAATCTCCTCCAAGGCGGTCGAGTTGTTGGAAGGAATTGGACACAACAAGATCAGGTATCCAGATGTAGCTATCTGGGGGTCTGATAAATTCAACTCCGTCATACATCTCAGAATTCCAGGTGAGAAACTGATCAGACCACGTCACAACAAACCACCCTGTGCATAGGAGCTGTTGTTGTGACTCAATGTATTTGCTCAATGTGTGTAGATGAAAGTCAAAATCAACTGTAATAGTTTCGGATTTGTTGTAGACGGGCCTCTCGTATGGGTTGTTGTTCCAGATGATGTCATTGTAGAGGCGGAATTCACCAGTGGCGTTTCTGAGTTGTGTCTCAACAGACACAAAACCACAAGCAAGAATATACAAAATTGGCGACATCATGGTCGTATAGCATCAGCCCTTATCTTCTTCCTCTGCGATGACAGCTTAATGCTCAGCACACTTGGCTGCCTGTTCTCAATTCTGAGACCAGCCGATGAAACACACTGACTTTGGTCAAAAGCGCTTCTTTTGTCTTACCTGAAATTAATATGAAAAATAATTAAGTTATTCTTTCTGAATATATGCAAACAAATCTGGTTTTGTTGTGTGAGAGTGCTTATCAATTCTGAAATTTGATAACATGCTGACCGTGTTGGGGCACAAATAATATATTTTGTTGTCTTTTGACTTGATCTGTTTGTTGTTTACCTCCGCGCTCAGCAATATTCAAGCTCTATGACATCGATCTCTGAATAATCGAGTCTGAACCAGACAATCAAGTGATTGACATCATACGCATCGATCTTAATAATTGGTATCTGATAAAATGCATCAACCAATTTAGCGAGCTGGAAAACCCGATCCCGGATCTTCACGGCGGAACTTTTTGTGTTCAATGAGTCATTGTAAGATTGATCAGTTAGTCCGGTTTTCAAACTGAATCTGTGTTTTGCATATGGCATATTGAATTGAATTTGGTTTACACATATTAGTAATGGTGTGAATGGTAGCTGATATTTTGAACCTTTCCGTGTACAAAATATGTACATTTAAATGGGTACTATGTATATATATTTTGTATCTTTATAGCCACATGCAGATGGCCAAAGGATTGTTTGCAAGTTTCATTCCGCTGCTGACAATACATGGTGAGGTGAGGTGAAGATTATGCGTCATACGAAAAGACGTTAAAAGATAGTACTTCTTTTTACACTTACAAACTTACGCCGCGACGTGCATGTGTGTGTGTGCGTGTGTGTGTGAGTGCATGCGTGTGTGTTTGTCGACGGTCCATACGAATGCCGATTGTATAGTTCTAGTCCACACAGATAGCATGCCACAATGTATCATTGATACCCCACTCAGACACAGTATACTGAATGTCAGCCGACCAGGCAGGGTAAAAATAAGCACTATCTTTTAACGTCGTTTCGCATGATGTAGGTGGGCGTCGAACTACCGACCTTTCATTCTTTGGGTAGACTCTCTTTCCACTAGACCACGGATGTAGTCTGTATCTAAATGGCTTAAGGAATGTTGAATGAATATATTGTTTATTCTCAAAAAGTGTTAGCTCTTTTCTTACACCTTACGGTATCCTTATATGTTTTACGCTGCAGTGAATAGGCTTGTAACGAAACATTATCCTTTTTCCTATTAAAAACATCTAGTAGGCTTCTCTTCTGTGATAATCACATTCTTTATCAAACCACGGACAGTCGCGTCCATGACGCTGAACAATCTTACGCTTTGTAAAATCTGCTGCTTTCAACAAAGCGTCCGTAAATTTACTAATTTCTGCATTTATGTCTGTTAATGCTAACGTAATACAATCATCAAACAAATGCTTAATTTCATCACATGAGACATTTTCTTTTAACCGATCACCAAAAATATCACGCCAAGTATACTTAATACAAACATCCGTCTTCACATTCTCACCCGACATAGCATTGTCAATTTCAGTATAATGTGACTGAAAGGTACAATTGGTTGGCGCGTGCGGAGACTCGATCCGAGATCCGATGTTAAAATTCTTACACAATGTAAACAAATCACTTGTTATGATAACATAGTCAATAACGCTTGCGCCTGTAGGGGACATAAACGTAAAATCTCCCACACTGGCATCAGATCCACAACGACCATTAAGTATAGACAAGTTTAGAGAAGCACACATATTAAGCAAAATTCGCCCAGTCTTATCTGATGAAAATCGCTGTGTGCAAATACCCCGGCAGAGACAATGACACTTGTCAATGTGCAGAGCTCTAATTATATCGTCCTCAACAAAATCAAAGTCTGTTCCAGTGCGGGCGTTGAAGTCGCCCCCGAGGTGGATAGAGGCGTCCCCCACTTGTTGAAGTACATATATTAACGCATCCTGGAGTATAGATACGCCACACTTGTCAGCTTTATTGACATACCAATTTGACTTCTCTGGATTGTTGTATGCACAACCTATAAGAGTGTCCTTAGCATTATTAAATACAGATTTCTTTAACAAAATTAAAACACAGTTGTCACATATTTTTGACCATAAAATGGATTTTGAAAGTGTTTTTTATTAACAATGTAATACCACCGGATAGCCGACCTTGTTTGGAGATTTGGCAAACATCAACATTAAAGTAAACATATTCAGAGAACTCCTTTGAAAAGTCGTAAGCTTTTAGCCAGGTTTCACACAATCCTATAATTGTAAATGTACGTATGTAATTAAAGAATTCATAATGAATGTTAAGGGTAATAGATACGTTATATTTAATCATACTTATTTTCAAGAGACTGTCCCGTCAGCCAACCAAAATGTGTTTAAACAATATGTTAGAGATTTGTCTAGTTACCTGCATATTTGAAACAATACCACGATATGTGAAGAAATTAACTTAATTTCCTTTGATTCGAAATCGTGTATTTTTGTTGTAAATATATAACTAAACAAATTTACGAAATCATATGCGTAACTGGTTAGATTTTTTCAAGAAAATGAAAATATAGAAATGACGTCATTATAAAACTATGCCAGTACAAATATTCGCATACAATGCCTTTTACATTGATATGAGTATGAGTATCAGTTAACATCAAAATAGGAAAACAATATCCATCAGGGCATACTCCACAAAGCGATATTTGCACCAAGACAGCCGTAGCGCCCATGCATTACCACTGATAAAGGCAGCCGTAGAACTAAGGTCGCTTTGTGGAAAAGGTATCCTGCTCGCTAACAAAACTTACCGGTAAAGATGTAGTTATTTCCTTGGTAAAACACCTTAGTCCATTGTAAATCCATATCCCTCCTGATGGTACAGTGATATCGTGTCGCAGAAAGACATGTAGTTCGTTTTATCTTTCCTGTGACAAACGTAAAAACAGTCCACTCCTTAACGTCCCATCCACGATAATGCCACCTACTGATCTGTTATCAGCCTGTACACAGATCGATGAGGTGCAACCGATATGACTGTGTGTAGGCAGCCTTCCCGTTATCGCACGTCCACGATGAATAACATAACAAACACCACTGAGGCCCTGTAACCTGCGACACTTGTTTACACAAATGCCATTAGGACTGATGAATAATTACCACACGCAAACAGTTGTCGGGACATCAGTTACACAATACAAATCAGTTGATGTGTCTCATAACATCGGGGATGTTTACAGTGATTTCCATGGAGAACGTTGAACACATTAAATACTGTGTGATTGATCATGAGAAGTCGTAATCTGTCAGAATCATTCAATTTCCTTATGAGGTGTTCATTAGAGCTGCTACACGCATCCACTATTAAATGTCGGGATCACTTGTGAATCTAAAACCAATCAACGTGTTCTAAGCACCTTGTACATAGGCAGTCAAACCCATGGCAACCTGTGTAACCCGCTGTATGACAAAAGGGATGATTTCGATTTTCCAGCTGTTGATTGCGGCTTCATGTTGACGATTATGCAATCAGATCCAGCTTATGGCGTCAACATTTCTGCTGAATAGTTTAGAACATTTGTCTTACAACTGAGTACTTCAATATAGAGTTCTCCACCAAAGGCCCTATTCCAGTGATAATACATTCAAAATACCCATGAAGATCCAAGTTAGAATTGGTCTTCAGCAACCTGTGCTTGCCATTAGAGATGATTAACATGATCGGGTGATTAGTCTCGCATGGCATCATCCAAATTGTGTAAATCGATGCTCATAGTGTCAGTCATTGGATTGCATGGTCCAGGCTCGGATATTTACAGACCGCCGTCATATGGCTGGATGATTGCTGAGTTTGGCGTTAAACAACAAACAAAGAAACAAATATAATGAAAAGACTTCTTTCATTGTGTGAGTACATTATTGCTAAGATCTTATGTTTGCAAGGCGCTGTATTCTGATAATGCTCAAATTAATTCTGTCTGAAAGATCCTTAAAACATTGTGTGAAGTATTTCTCCTCCCTCAAAATCTTTGTAAATGTTTTCGTGATACGTGAACAGGTTCGAGTGTGATACTCAATTTTGTACTGTACAGTGTGAAACAATTGTGCATTCAAACTGTAAGTCACGTTTGTCTGTTCGAAGAATGGAACTCTTTTTCAACAATTTTGAAATGATAATAACGGTCCATATGAACCTCAAAATAGTTTTTGTGAAATATGTTATCTTTGTGTTGGGGCAAATTCTTAATGATTGCACCCAAAACGTCAGTCGAGTCCACGACGATATGGGCTCCACACATTCTACCCATCTGGGGAATAGAACCCGGACTTTCGATGTGACGAGCGAACGCTTAACCACCAGACTACCCAACCGCCACCATGATATGTCTTGAAAATTGCAGATTATGGCGTTAAACCATCACTTGATAAGCATCCTAAACGTTGTATGATCACATCTTATCTAGGTACCATGTCTCTCCAGTGCATGCCGCAAGAACAGATTGAAACAACACGTTCAGAAATTGTTGCCAGGCTGACCCTGTTTTTGAACTGTGATGACTGAGCAGATCATACACTGTTATCTGTGCTAGAAACAGTTGATGTGGTCACAACTTCCGCAACTGGGCGCCACGTGGATATCTGTTTGGTTGAGCGGGCGTTCAGAAAGGAGGAGAGGCACAAACACACTGGCCAAGATGTTAGCTCACGATGTTCGATACCGTCGAATAACGATCTATTATAACAGAAAAACGCGGAGAAAATACATATGAAGATTAGTACATGTGTGTGTGTGTGTGTGTGTGTGTGTGTGTGTGTGTGTGTGTGTGTGTGTGTGTGTGTGTGTGTGTGTGTGTGTGTGGACTAATGCCGGCTTTATTGTGCAAGCACACTGATTCACCATGCCGCAGTTTAACGTTTATCCCCCACTCAGACACAGTACACTGACTCCGAGCCGGCCAATCCAATTGTACTATCCTCTTAATGCCGAGCGTCAGCACATTGAAGAAAAACCGACGTGTTTTTGCTGTGATAGTCACGTGTTCTCATTACGTTCTACAAACAAGTCTTTCCTTGGTGAGTGACATTCAATAACAAGAATACTTTGTACTTATACATGTATACTATTTATGCTTACTGCAAGTAAAATTATAAAAGAAATCTTGACATGAGATGAGGTGAAGTGGGTTCAAGATAACTTCACTTATTTTGCGGCCTGCCGGGCTGCTTGTACTAGTCGGGATGTGTGTCAGTTTGATTGTGGACTTTGTCACTGTCAGCCATTTGAAAAGACTCCCTTCAAGCTGAAAAAAGCTTTATAGATTGGGTAAACATCATTACCTCTTTACTTTTTGCACTTTGAATATCAAGGATCGTGTTCAGAATCTGCTAACGATACCCGATGTCTTTAATGACAGCAAATCTAAGTCTCTCGTGGGCCAGTGACGTCATTATACGCGGGATTAAGGCCTATCCAGAGTGGCTTAATGATTAAGGCGTTTACTCGTCACGCCGTGTTTTTTTTTTCTGCATCGGTACACTCTCTAAAAAAACATTCCTGGGAGCCTGAGATATGTTTTTTGCTCCTTCAGCGATTGGTTTGGCTGCAAAACACATGAGTTCGACGTATTTTGTCTAATTAATCGATAATCATAAATTGCAACATCTTTAATCACTGAAAGCATCACATTAAAAGCAACTCATATTGTCATAAATTCCTCAAAATTTATATTCTATAAATATATGTCCATTGCACGATTCTGACTTCATCATTCTTGAATCACTATCAAATAGATGAATCCAGGTGTTCGCGAAAATGCGACAGTATCCTGTCCCTCCGGTTGCTCACGTCACACGCGTAAAGGCAAGTCAAGTGTTCACCTAAATAAACACAGGAACATCTAGTTCCTGTTTAAATAGGGAATTGCTTCAGACATCATTGTGGTGGTTGATGCGTAAAATTTGAAAAGATCCACGTCATATATAACACTGTTTGACACTCTCCTTACGAGAGAATACATTCAGAAGCAAAGACACATTTACTACTCGAACTAATCAATACGAGAGACAACATATAACAACTTTAAACACACTCCATCAATGATTCATAACCTAGAAACCCAAGTTCAAGCCGATGTATAGCAGTGTTATTGGAATTCCCAAAAGTAAAGGGATACACAGCACCCAGAAGAAAAACAAATCCAGTGCTTTGCTCACTCGTTCCCATGTGACGGGCTGATTAGCCTTAGCCTGAAGCTCTTGTAACTGTCCAGATTCCTCTATTGCAGGTTTGTCACGGTTTCCAAACCGGCCAAATGCATCGACCTTTTCGACCCAAGTTGTGAATCTTTGTAATGTTTTACGAATGGGTTTCGATTCACTCTGTCCACAGAACCGGACACTGAAGATGCTGACGATGACAAATACTGCAGACATTGTAAGTGTGAGTCCAAGGATGATGATGAAGGGCGATATACCCTGGGAGCTCTGGGGTATCATATCTGTGAGAAAGCCCATGTAGACCCCATATGACAGAGGAATCGTTATGGCAAAGGATATTTTTTCTCCTGAATCTGCAGGAATGAGAAACACAAATGTCCCCAGGACGGACAGGATCAACACAGGGAGGATGAAGTTGAAGACAAAATGCACAGGGCGTCTGTCCAGTGTAAGCGTAATAAGCACATGTGATATTGGCTTGTTGTCAAAGGTCTTTTCCTTGGCTGTGATTGATGTTGGTTTTAGCTTCCACTGACCGCCTATGTTTGAACTAGATGTTCCAGCTACTGACTGGCGGACTTTCAGGTCAACTTCTGACGTCGAATATGACCAGACGACAATCTCCATGGAACACTTCAGGCTATCAAATGGATACATTAGAACGTCCGTTTCACAATGCAGGTAGAATAAGTCTCCTGTCATCCACTGCACGTGTCCATCAGAGGATACTTTCAAAGGCACGAAATCTCCTCCAATGTGGTTTAGTTGTTGGAAGGAATTGGACACAACAAGATCAGGTTTCCACACGTAGCTATCTGGGGGTCTGATAAACTCAACTCCGTCATACATCTCAGAATTCCAGGTGAGAAACTGATCAGACCACGTCACATCAAACCACCCTGTGCATAGGAGCTGTTGTTGAGACTCAGTGTATCGGCTCACTGTGTGTAGATGAAAGTCAAATTCAACTGTTATAGTTTCGGATTTGTTGTAGACGGGCCTCTCGTATGGGTTGTTGTTCCAGATGATGTCATTGTAGAGGCGGAATTCACCAGTTGAGTGTCTGGCTGACTCGATAGACACAACACCAATCACCAAATTACAGATTGTGAAGAGTAGCATGATTGCACAGATGGTAATGTAGAACTTAGCAGTGTAGAGTTTTGATGCCGTGGAGCTGCAATAATGAAAAGATACACGTGTCTCAGAGGTAAAATAAGAGGGAATTTAAAATAGTCAAATTGATATTGTTAGATTGTTTGATGTGTAACCCCGCATTCAGCAATATATATAGCTCGAGGCTGGACCCACGTCAGCGAGCAATCACCCAATCCATTTAGTCGTCTCTTGCAACAAACATGGGTAAGAATAGAGGGATGCTTTAATTAATGTTATAATAAATACACAACGAACAATGCATTCCATTCATTGCTTTCCAACGAAAACACGAGCTTGTTTAATCAATGGCATTTGCATTCTCTTTCATCGGTAAATGCAGGGAAATGAGAGCGACAAAACCCTTTTCATGTCCATTTCAAATCTGCTCAAAGGAGAGTTGATTGTACGATTGCGACTATCCTGAACATGTGTTTAGTAATTACTATCAAATAGTGATTAAAACCCGGTTTTCGCGAAAAAGGGAGAATATCCTGTCCCACTAGTTGCACACGTCACAAACACATTCAAAGTTAAACCAATTGTTTAACACGGGGACAAGTCAAAATAGTGAATTGCATCGGACAT